CCTTCTAGTCAACATCCCCTCACAATGCCTCAACAACGTTGTGAAGCTTGACTGTGGTTAATTTCAACCATCTTCTCTAGTAACCTGGGGTGGTCTTCACATAAATTCAGTTTGGAAGAAGGTCCAACAGAGACTGTTGCATCTGATGATGTACAGTTCTCCACAGCAGCTGCTGAACATTTTCTACTCTGCCACCAAGTTCACTGTTTTTACTACTGCTAAAGACATTTGCTTGTTATTGATTGTAATTCAAAGGTAATAGGGTATACTATTATGAGGCACGCCAGATACGAAGTTGTTCAAAGAATAAGAGGTGCAGCAACAAGCTGAGTATGTTGTCTGACTTGCTTAAAAAGATTTTTCCAGCGAAACCACATATGGAGCTGATGACCATTTTCCAGCCTATCTGTCATGCCTACTGTCATCCCGAAGAAGGCATTGGGTGGTCATGCTCGTGTTTAATAGTTAAAGACATTGCATGCTGGGTCAGTATGTAGCCAACTCCCTTATAAAACCTTATTAAATTGTCTCCGAGTCATTCAGGCAGACATTTCTGTTTTGTTCACTTTTCCTTAGAATGCCATTTATTTCATCTGTCACCAAAAATTAGATGTTATTTCTTTGGTCTTGAGGATGTTTTTGTGCAAAGTGTACAATTTTATTTCTAACGCAGTTAAACAGATCAGCCGGCCACACAGGGACACAAAAGGACCTGTCAGCGTAAATTTGTCAAATGAACGCAGTTCAAAGAAAATGGTATAATTTACCTCTTTGACTCGTGTCGTCAGCTCAGCTGAATGGTGGCTTTGTATCATCACCAGGTCAGAGTCTATTCCTCGTTGGGGGAGACGAACAAAACCTCATCTCTGACTCTTTCACTTTTGGCAAATAAAAGGCTTTTTAACGGAGAATGTCAGTCAATCAGGCAGGATGCATGTATTTGTCTAAATGGGCGTAGGCTGGAGTGTGCGTGTCAGACAGGAAACGGGAGACAAAACATTGACCTTACTGAGGTTAATCAGCATGGCTGCAGCAGTCTGACCCACGCTTTGTGTGAGAAGCGCTCCATCACAGCTTTGCTGCTTGCTGTAACTTTAAGTTTTCAAAGTCGGAGAATATGCAAAATAACAGAAAGTAATACATTCAACATGATGCTTCTTTTCTTCAAAAGATAAGGCAGACTTTTCACCTGCCATCGGAATTTGCAGCAGCTGTTCAAACCTTTTCAACTTGCAGTGATAAGCTATATCGATCTCAAGCTTACCCCATAAACTGACATATGATTTTATTTAGTTAATTTAATATAAAGGAGCATCAAACCACATGTTTTTTTTTTGTATGAGTTTGAGCTTTTATGATTTAAACCTGAGTAATGAATCTTTTAGCCTCATACAACCTGCTTCAAAATGATGGAAACTATAAACACTCTTCTGTTGCATGATAACAATGTATATCCTTAAAGAGGCGCTTTCATTTGAGCTACAACAAAAGTGTTAAATCAGAACCTCAGCTCCAAACAAGTCAGGTGTGATGATTCATCAGGCCGGAAGACATCAACACTACAGAAAAGAGAGCATGTGTTTAGAGATCTTAATGACCTGCTGTTGCCTTTTCAATTTCTGATTGGTGCAGACATTGTTTTTTAGAAAAAGAAATAAAGAAGAATGTTTGTTACAGTCACCCTGAGCCATTCAATTATATGTAAAAAAAAAAAAGCATTTTTTTTTTATTGTTCCTTTAATAGATGATTCCTATTCATTACATGATCCCATCAAAATAAATTCTGACAATTTATTTTTTATTTCATTTTATTGGTGCTGCAACGATTAGTTTGCAAATCGATTAATCTGTGGATTGTTTTTTCGATTAATCCATTAATAATCAGATACTGTAGCTAAAGGTTCCTTAAAGAAGAGTTTTGACCAAATTAAACAAGGTGAAGTGGAAAAATTCTGAATAAAGCACTGACAGACTAAAATGTTTTTTTCATCTTAAATGCATGATTTTTATGTATTTCTTTTACAAAGTTGATATAAGTACTGCTCTAATTTGGTCCCTCTGTCACCTAAAGACATGTTTTACAGTCTTTATGCTCCAGTTAACGATTAATCGATTTCTAAATTAGTTCACGATTATTAATCGATTAATCATAATGAATCTGATTGTTTCAGCCCTAAATTTAATACAGATACCTATATTTTCATTAGCTTATTTTAGAAAATGTATTAGATGAGCATGAATTATTTTAAATTCAGATAGAGCTCTGTTGGTTTTTATTTTAACCAAGCAGTTAATAAAAACCCATTTTCTTCTTCCTTTTTTGCGTATTTCCACACAGATGGAACGTCAGATCCTGATGCAGAACCAGATGAGAGAGCGACAGATGGCCATGCAGATGGCCTGGTCCAGAGAGTTTCTCAAATACTTTGGCTCCTTCTTCGCTGTAGCCACAGTGGGACTGACAGCAGGGTAAGAGGTGGAACAAACATCTGTTTTTAAATGCACACACTCCTCCTTTAATAGTAAATCTCTCAGGAAACAGCTTCGACCTGTGTGACTGATGTGAAGTGCGAGTCTTCACAGGTTAGGTGATCATCCACTGGTATTTACAGATGCCGCGAGCGGAAATGTTACACAAAATAACACGTCTACTTGTAACAGACAAGAAACTCAACTTGTTTCTTTTTTTTTCTATTTGAATAAGGTCTTGTGAAATTCTTTCTATGTTGATGAAGAATGTATACATTTTTTTTTTTGTCCCTCAGAGCCATTAAAAGAAAAAGGCCTGCCATGTTGGCTCCGATTGTCCCTCTGGGCTTCATATTTGCCTATCAGATGGACAGCGCCTATGGGACGCTCATTTACCGGATGAGAGGTGAGGCTATCATGATTGGTGGGTCTCCTTAAAAATTGGGTTCTTCCTTTTTTCAGGGTGAAGTAATTTAATAATTACCTTAAATATTTGTAAAAAAAAAAAAAAAAAAAAACTTGATAACTTACTTAATACATTGTGGATCTAGTTGACAAAATTCTACATACAAGCTTAATGTATTTGATCACCACGTTTAGCTTTTGACATGTTTCTATATAAATAACCAATTGGTTTGGTTTATTTGGTATAGTTGATTTGGATTGGTAACTTTTAAAGATCCTTTTCTGTTAATCCGAAAACTAGTTCTGATGTGGGTTTGGGATCATTTCCTTGTTGGAAGGCCACGTTGAGTCCTTATTTAACATTCAGACCCAGACTGCTACCATAAAAAATTTCAATATTTTCAGAATTTTCCAGATATGAAAACATAAAATGAGAATCGAGATAAATGCACACACTCCTCCTTTAATCTGAGACATTAACCCCGACCCTAGTGTCTAAAGGTTTGTCCTTCTTTCCATGTGGTTCTCTTTCCTTTTGACCTCTTTTTCCCCTCTGAACATCCTTCAGTCCTTATGTCATACTGCCGTTCTTTCTGTTCTTACATATTTTTTCACATTTTCTTAACTGTTTAGTGTTAATCCTTCCTTCATTATCCAGTATCTCCCTTATCCATCCATCCATCCATCCATCCATCCATCCATCCATCCATCCATCCATCCATCCATCCATCCATCCATCCATCCATCCATCCATCCATCCATCCATCCATCGACAATCTAGAAACTGTCATTTCATCCTGAAAGAAAAAGAATTATTAGAAGAGTCGTTAAGAGGTGCTAATTCATTGAGTGTTTGTATACGATTATAAATGCTTATTAATGGTACTACAAATCAGAAATGCTGACTTTCAGCGGCTGGATTATGGGTTTACAAAAAGTTACTGCCTTACAGGGGAAAACAGACAGCTGTATTTGTGCGAGTACGATGACAGCGGCCATGACATTGATATGCTGCAAAACATTTACGTTTGGTTCCTTTGCATCTTCAGGCGAAGCTGAGAATATCATAGCCTCTGAGCATGACCGTTTGGACCTGCCTCTGGGGACGCCGACCTTTGAGAGCATAGAGAAGGCCCGGCGGGCCAAAAGCGGCCTCATCTCCCTTTTGGAAAAGTGATGCATCAGTTGTGACACGAGTCAAGATCCGAACCGTCCGAGCGGTGCGTTCACCTGTGCTATTTTAGTTTCATCATAGAGAACAGCTGTCAGGTCCGATCTGACTTCTGTAAACGTGTTGGAGTCAGAGCTTTGCACCAACTCCACATCACGGACCTTTGAATAAATCTCTAGCTGTTTTGGTTTGTACAGTTGTCTCATGTTAAAAGCTGATTTGCTGATGCAGAAAACTGATTCAGATCCATTGAATTATGATGTGTACATTTACTGCACTGTAGAGGGATATTATAATTATAGTAGACACTATCCTTAGTGGATAAGATGTGCGATAAACTTCTGTTGTTTGATTTTTGACCACCAGAGGGAAGAAAGACTGAAACATATAGTCCAAAAATAATTTTCATTTTAGTCAATGAAATAAAGAGGATCATCTTACCAAAGCCTTTTTCTACATTTTTATTTCCTATTTAAATCCTTTGCATCTGACATATTGAACGTATTTGTAAAGCCAATAAAATTAAATCTTGCTGCATCGTTTCCGATTTTATTTTGTAATATATTTAAACATCTTTGTTTCATTATCCACATTTTTTAATCTTCCTGCATAGACTGTGTGTGCAATAAGTGGCAACAAGAAAGAAATAACTCCAAGTACGTCAGTGCCATCAATCTAAGTGACGTGCTTGTATGTTGGATGCAGGGAGGGAGGAAGGGAGGGCAGCAGAAACGCACAAGTTCAGAGTGAACTACTGACTACAGTATAAAAGGTTGGTCTCACTGGCACAGAGGGAACCAGAGGGGCGCGAAGCAGGCAAACCCAAGCATTTGTCTTTGCTTAAGTGGGCTTTAATTGAGCACAGCAGGTTAAAAAAATATACAAAAATCAGCTAAGGGTCTAAGAAAAACTCCTCAGCTCCCTGATTAGGTTATAGTTTCAGCCTTTAGAGAAGATGCTGTGGAGAGTGACCGTTGCCTTAGCCGTGATGTGTGTCGGAGGGGCGTGCGACAGCGTGGGAACCAACGTAATGAGCAGACTGATCATGCCCAGGGACTATGGGGTGAAACTGTGCGGGAGAGAGTTCATCAGAGCCGTCATTTTCACCTGCGGCGGCTCCCGGTGGAAACGATCCACAGAAGAGGGAGCAGGTGAGTCAAACCTCCTACTTATTCATTGAGGCTTTAGAGTCAGAGGTCAGATTTAATTAATGTGTTTGCAGAAAAATATGATCTGTGTTTTTCAGTGCAGTTATTTAAGACTGAAATAAATTAAAAAAAATGCTGAATTTTGAAGGAAAGGGGATAATAAAGTGGCTTCTTTTTAAAAACCCATCATTTACTGTTTTTTTTTTCTTGGAAAAACACATTTAACAACTTTTGTGACGTTTTTTTCTTCTTCCTTAAGACCCGTCCCACTGGACCGCATTCGGCGATGTTGCAGCTGAAGACGAACAGAAGACCTGGCACCCCGGTACAGACCTCAGGGACGAGAACTCTCCTCTCCCCTTTGCCACCTCTTTCTCCAACTCCCTAGCAGACCTTCTTACCCTCTACAGAGCCACGAATGAAAGACCTCCGTCATCTTTAAGCTTCCCAAGCCAGCTGAGCTCATCCAGGGCTTCTGCTGAGCAGAACAAAGACGCTGCTGACTTGCTCGTAACGAGCAAGAAGAAGAGGAACTTTTCTCTGGGCGTGGCAGGGATGTGCTGTAGCCAAGGCTGCACCAAGAACGATATCGGACGGTTGTGCTGAGGAAGGAAGGGACAGAAAGCTGAAACTTGGTTGTATGAGGCTTGGTTGAAACTTTGGTTTATACTTGTGTGATAGCAGTCATTAGCCTCTTACATATTTGAACCAAAACATGCTCTGTATGTCGATTCACCTTCCCTTAAACATGGAATAAATTTTAATAACTGTTAAAATGATTGTCTTGCAGTGTCAATGTGTTCAAATGATGGTGACCTTTATTTTTGCCAGATTAAAGTAAAGCAAGACGACAACAAAAAAAAAGGCTTTTTCTCGGGGTTTTCATCTGCCTGATTATTTAATCACCCTGAGGAACAAAGTGGCAAATATCTGAACTTAAGTTGCCAACAAAAACAAGAATCTGACTTTTAGAATATCAAAAAAAAAAAAAAGTAACTTCTAGACTTTATGACCAAAATGTAATAAATCTTTACTGGCTTAAATGGAAAAACAGAATATCTTTACATCACACATTTACAGCGATTTACATTCATCAGTCAAAAGTTCAGTCCACTTACTGGAAACAAACGTGGGGAAAGAAAATACCAGTAGGCAGAATATAAAAAAAATCTTTGGTAGAAATAAACACTTTACAAATGAACACACTGGAGCACAAACAATATAATTCATTATTAGTCATAGCTATACAAGTCCAACAAAGATGCCCTGTTTTGCAGCATTGAATAACGGAGTCATACTCTGAACCTAAGTCCTATATTTTTGTTTTTGAAGTTCCACTTTTTCCCCATCTTTTTTCCAATAATGTTTCAACAAATAAAAGGCACTGAATGCAAAATAAAAAAATGGAGGGTTGTTATTTAAGGCTAAAAAACATCACACCTAAAGCCTTCAGTCATTAACATCTAGCACATATAAATATTAACAAAATAGTCACATGAAATAAAATAGAAACAAACAACCCATATCTCATTTATGGTTGGTAATGTAATGCAAACATACATATTGAAGGTCTCTAAATGACCTAGAGTCCCTTTTATTTTAAAATAAACATCTTGAAATGAGCTACAGAACATCAGCGCATCTCCTTTTATAAAATCATAAGCAAATACTCTAGCCTTGTAACATTCAGAATACATGATGCATTAAGAAAATACATAAAAATGTAATAAAAAAAAACAACCCAAAGATGTTACAGTGTAACTTGATTATAGCACAGACCATGCAGGCTACAGAAAGCACCAATGGCATCCATGTTTGTGAGAATAAATTCTGCATAAAAAGATGTAAACATTTCAAAGAAAAATTGTTTAAAATCCCAAAAATGTAACTTAAAGACACTGTAGTAAAAAAAAGTGTGAAGTATAGAATCCTCGAAGTCTGATTTATGCTGCCTTTTCAAGTTATTTCTGCCCTTCAGATCTTTTCTGTATGTTACTTTGAAACAGCTTCCATGTATTGCAATGGAAGGATGAAGTTACTGGATTTTAATTTTTTATTTAAAAAAAAAAAACTGGAAAGTGTGGCGTGCATTTACAAATGTACAGTTAAACCTCTTATTCATTTTTCTGGAAGATTTAAATGTGAAACTATTTATTTTAAGTTTGCTAGTTCTTATTATTACAAGTTAAGTTTGTTTCTGTTTGGAAATGAAACGTAAGATTATAGAATGATGTAGAAAATCTATTTAGAATCTATTTATTCTGTTTTCCCAATCAATTGAAAAGTGAATATTGGTCTCAGACACTTCCAGCCCTTTTTATGTTTTAATCAGTATTTGATCTGAAGGTTGGAGGGCTTCTGCGCTATCACCCTAATCATTAGCTTTTTCCACAGATTCCACTCTAACATGTTTACTTTTAAGGTTACTTTAAATCTTCCAGTGTTTTGAATGATTTGGGTTTAACTTTAGCTGTGTTTACTTGCAAGAAAATACCTTCAGAACTCCCTTTCTTAGTAAGCCAGCCTACCCATGTGCAGCTCTGTATGACTGCAGCTTGCAGTAAACCTTAAGGGGTGTGAATACTTTTGCGCTGGAGTTAGGAGCAGCCAAACTCCACTTTAACAGAAAAAGAACAATACTGTGGGTCTCCTTGGGGTTCAATCAAACAGGTTCCAACTTTTCAGTTCTTCCTGCTTCCAAAGAGAAAAAAAGCATTAATCCAGCACCCGTCACCGTTGTTACAGAGAAAGAACCTTTTTAATTTTTGAGCTAGAGGCGGGCTCTTGGGGTACAGCGGCCTATCAAAATGTTAATGGCGTGTTTAAAACTCTGCTCTTTGGTTTATTTTTTATTGAACTGTGCTTTAGCATCATAAAATGTCAACGTAGCACAAGAATAACAGATCAGCTGATTGAGTGTGTGGCAGACATGTTCACAAGTCATTTTTTGCAAGTCCAAGTCAAGTCTCAAGTCTTGAGAAGGCCTGTCGCAATAATCAATTAATCGCACAAAAATTCTAATCACTTGATTAATTTAAAAAAGTGCTATAATTTTTGTGCTTGCTTGTTTCTCCTTGTGTTTTCATCTACGTCACTGCGACGGTATAGCTTAAAGGCCGCTATTATATCTATGGAATTATCATTATCTTGAACTGCTAAATGAAAAATGCAATTAAAGAAAGCACACACGCAAAAAATTTTTCCAGTTAAATTTTGCATTTTTATTTTTTTTTCTTTAAAAAAAAACTATTTTCTTACAGTATTTACCTGACGTTTATGGTTACAAATTTTTCTAGTTTTAGCGAGTATTTTCAATTCAATTCAGTTTATTTATTTAGCGCCAATTTACAACATTATTCACAACATATTTCTCCTCTACCACTGCCATGAAGCTTTTAAAGCTGGCCTTGTCGATCAAAGACAAGGGGAGGTTGCATGAAATAATAAGGTCCTGAATTATTGCCTTATGTCTGTGATGTCCCTGGCTGTACACCTGCACTAGATGTGGTGGACCAAGCATCGTGTATTTTTTTCTAAAGAAGCTGCAGTTTGCTGCTCTTTTATTCCCGCCTTATGTAAAGTTTTTGTAGCCAAAGGTTATTATGAACGGTGGCACCGAAACAGGGGGGGTAATCATCGCTTCCATACCTGTATGGGTTGCATGCATGCATGTGCACTGGCATATATGTCACGTACTGTTGCGTCAGTGTGTTGCACAGGGAAAAATATGATTTATGGTTTTCTTTCATTTAAATGTTAGTTTTATGCTTTACATGTTTGGAGAGGAAGATATGATTTGTTTTTCTTTGTATTTTCTTCTTGAGCTTTGCATGTTTTGATGTTTCTTTTTTATGATTGTTTTCCTTTATTTTAGACTTTTGAATTTTTCCTGCATGTTGGGTTGTTTTGGTTTGTTTTTCCCTTGTGACAATCCATGCGCACTGGACTGAAGTAGTTGTCTGAGGAGGCGGAGTGCATTAATTGCGCTGCGTAATTGCTGCGCTCAGGTGTGAGCAAGGGCTGATTAAAGCCGACATAAAAGGAGTCTGAAGGAAAGGAGAACGCACCAGAAGCAGCAGAACAAGCGGAGCCCAACTTCCAGCCTGTGATTTTTAAGGAAAACTCTTGAATTTTAGGTTTTATAAGGAGAAGAAAAGGACTGTTTTATTATGCCACTTTTGCGGTGGCTTTTTGTATAAATAAAACACTTGAACTTGAGCGCTTCACGGTTTGGGTCTTTGAGTTGTTTGCTCCCCCTTGTGTCAAAGATTGAGTGTGGGGCCATACTGGCCAGAATTGCTACTTTTTTTTTTAACTCTTCTGTGTGCGGGTAAGGCGAGCGGCGATTAGTCAAGTTAGTAAAACAAAAAAACACTTGAATAAGTGTTTTTACACTGGAATAAAATATTGTTCACAAGTCGGAAATCACGAGTCTCAGTCGAGTCTGAAGTCCTTCAAACGCAAGTCTAAGTCGAGTCTGAAGTCATTAAATATGCGACTTAAGTGCGACTCGAGTACGAGTCACAAACTCGAGTCCCCATCTCTGGTGTGTGGTTAATTAGAGCAATATTCAGAAATTGGTGACATTAGGGTATCTGTTCACAGGATTACTGGGATAAATCACACTACCTCTTTGGTTGCTTTATCACTAACTAACATTAAAGAGATTTTAAGTGATAAAGATGTGATGATGGTGGAAAAACCGACCCTGGTTAAGAACTGGAGCCTATTTGTTGGCAAAGGTGGACTTCAGGCTCATGGCTCTAATGTTTCTGCACCATTTGGAAAAAGCAAAAAAAAAAAAAAAAAAGTTGGATTGTTTTCCAAAATATTGAGTTGGCTGTAGTGTAGTCGTTACTTCTGTCTTTTTTTTCCCCTTTTCTTTTGTTTGCTTATAAAGCGGTTGAACTGCTACGGGTATTAATGACCACTGCCTAAACTTTACCGGAAATCCTTATTGTGTAACGACTGACCGGCAGGTCAAAAGTTCACTGTGTCTTATCCATCCATGCAGTTTTGCACCGTCTCCACCTGCTCGATTAATGCCTTGAATGTAGGCCGCAGTTTGGGGTCACTGCTCCAGCACTCCATCATGATCTTGTGCATCTGAAAAAGCAAAAAGAGGTAAACAACCACACAGACTCATAGGCCAAACTAAAAACCAGCTGCTGCTGTGCTGCAGACCTCCTTTGGGCAGTTTTCAGGAGCAGGCAGTCTGTATCCTTGTTTCAGCAGGTCGATCAAATGGTAGACGATCATCTGGCCTTGCTTTTCATTCCCCATCTTCTCCATGAAAACCTGCAACAGAGGAAGGTAGCTAACCGTCAAAAACACTGATGGGGCTCTATAAACTCAACTTCTAATCTAAACTAAGTTCCAGACTGAAACGGTTCCACAAAGAACAGAGAGGCTCAGTACCGCTGGAGGGCTGCAGTTCTTGTCACTGTAGGTAAAAAGCTCATACAGGACGACACCGAAGCTCCAAACATCTGATGCTACAGAGAACTTGCTCTCTGTCAGCGACTCAGGAGCATACCTGGAAGACATGAGAAGGACGACATAAATATGAGAGCCAAACATGAAGAGCCTTCTAGTTTTCTTTCATAAGTGGCGGTTCTTCTTGGTCCTCCTCCTTTAAAGGTAAGATCTGTGCTGTGATCTTTGCTGCTGAATATTTTTCATCTGATCATCAACGATATTAGTCCATTATTGATTGTTGAAAAAGCTTAAGAGATATCGACACTTTTGTAAATCAATGTAAAATCTGGTAAAAAAATAAATAAAGAAAGAAAGGAGATGTGAAATAAGTCTTTAATGTTTAAAGGCAAACAGATTTTATTATTCTCAGCTATAAAACCCCTTGAGCTGTTAGAAACCATGTGGTGTATCTTTTTTACTGACAGACTGGTAGGAACCTTTATGTCCCTGGGTGTTGCTGGGGGGAATTGGTAAATGAATGTTCCATCATAACCTTAACATGTCTGCACTCTGTCTCTGTTTTAGAGGTTAATTGTGCATATCAAACATTAGAACATGGTGTCATTGCTTCACCATCTTTTCTTTAGCTTTGGCACTAATTTAGCATATTGTATATTTATCCCTTTACATTATGAACATATCTTGAAACAAGTAAAAAACGTTTTTAAAGATGGCTGCTTATCAATCATTAGTCTATTAATAAGATCAGTCAACTTTAAATCGTGTTTATTATTCAATAATTTGCATCCCTGGACTCTATAAATCTAAATGCGCAGTAAAGTCTAACTTTTTTCCCCCTGGGGAAATGTAAAATTTGAAAGATTATAGTTTAATCAGCAACAGTAAGAGACGTGAATCGGCTTTCTGTTTCATCACCGCTTTGTGTTGTTCAGCTGAACGCTGGATAAAGCACGCTACACGATGAGACGGACTGAGAGCTTGTAAATGGACTTTAGACTTACACGTTTATCAAACTGTTAGTAGAGCAAAGCAGTGAGCTTTTTTTCAAGAGACAAGAAAAGCTAAAAACCAACTTCAAGACAGGACTTCCGCTCAACTTGACAGTGTGCAGGTAAAACCACAAGGGGGCAGCAGAACCAAACTACACACCAGACAAGGACTATAAAGCCAAGCCTTGTTCAACATTAATATTTGTTTCAGCAACTTACTGCCAAAGTACTAACCTGCAATAACTGCAGGTAAAAAGGACATTTATTTATCAAGGACAGTGCAGGTCTCGGGAAATTCATGAATAATAATGTGGAAATAACTTTCTAGTTAACCCTTTATAGGGCACTCAGTGAAATACTTTAAATATCTAAATTAAGTAATTTTCTCTTAAAATAAGTGCATTTTTTCTTGAATTGAGCAGGTAAATGAGACACTTTGCAAATGGAATAAGAAAATTAACATTTAAAATAAGGAAGAAAAAAAGTGCAGTCTCCAAATTAAAGTGCATAATATCAAATCATCTGATTTTAATGATAAAAATGCTTCTTCCACTGGGAGATTTACTTATTTACCTACTCAAATTATGGGTAAATACACTTATTTTAAGACATTTTCACTAATTTTTAGATCATTTTTGTAGTGTGTAATTGGAATCCAGGACGAGACCTTATTATCTTTGTAACATTAAAATAAAATGGATATTTTGATGGCAAAAATGAAACGCCAATTTACCCGAATACATTAAGAAAAATAACAAAAGTGCTTCTAAAAGAAAATCATGAAAAACACTCTGAGAGTGAAAGAAACCCTTTTTTTTATAGGTACAACATAACCGTAGAGGCTTAGTAACCCTTTAGCTTTACTTTCTAACTTTTCAATTAGCTTTTTACCTTTTTTTTCTTGACTTGTTACTCTTTTTTCCAACTTAATTTACAGTGGGTAATATATCATTCAAGGGCTCATCTAATTGGTGAAATGCCAAAATATGATGTACAGCCATGTAGCATGATCTTTGCTGAATGGCTAGATATAGATCTTGTGCTTCTAGACCTCACTGAGGGACGGGGGGGACTCCATTTCTAAGGGGTTAATCTTCAAATCAGCGGATGACAGAAATAAATTGGACGACTCTTGTGTCAAATGACAGGAATGACACAGGTGCTGAAACAATAGCTTTCCCAACAAACATGTATGGAAGCCACTACAATACAGCGGGTATCCAGGCTGGATACAGCTACTCCAGATTCTAAGGAGAAACAAACAGGATTTTCTGGAATTCTTCAAAGGACTTTGGGAAATCTTAAGTAGAATATTTAAATACACTGAAGCAAAGGGAGGAACCATTCTCTGTCTCAAAGTTTTGTTCATCTCTCTCCTTCCACTGCCCAAAGTTAACGAGGAACTGAACTTGTTGCACCATATTTATTTTTGCACTGCACTAAAACTTTCCAAATTATTTGCACTATTATTTTTTTTAAACTGGTTCCATTTTCTCCTACTCTCTTTACATGCTGATCACTGCTGCACACTCTGTGTTCACAAAATGACAATAAAGTTTGTCTAAGTTGAGGGGTCATCTCCAAACCCCACAGGAGAACATGCTCTGACCTGAGTCAGCTCCACTAATATGCTTTAAGAGAGACGCCGGCTACCAAGGCGGGTTTCTGGCAGATTCCTCTTTCCAAAAAATCCCCTTTGTTCTCAGCCTTTATCACTCCCCAGACATTATTGCTACAATCCACTGTACTTTGAACTCTCTTCAGCACCAGAACAGCTTCCAGAAACAAATGCAGAACATTTGTTCTCCTCTGGAGGCAGATCAAACAGAGTGCTATGAAAGACGCTCTCTGAAGGCAGGCGTGATGCTGAGAAACACTGTGGATTTTCAAAAGGTTCTTAAAGTTCCTGGGTCCCATTGTTCAAGTGTCTGGCACCAGTCCAGACTTAAGAGCACTAAGCTGCACAACGCATATTTTAATGAAGATGCCCTAGTCATAACATGGACTTGTAAAAGATTATCAGAGTTTCTGATTAAAAATAGGCTTTCATTTTGAAACCGACCACAAACCTTTATTGCCACAGCTACATTCCAGAAACCCGCCTCAACATATCCGTCTGAAAATGCATCTCATACATTTTCATTCACCATACCACACCAGACTCGTAAACAGACCCCAGCTGGCTATGTTAACGTGATTATAGTTGCGCTCTACAGCTATCCAACATCAAAACAGTCCTCACCAGAAGATGGGGCTCTCCCCAGGCTCCCTCACGGTGTAGTATTCTTTGTCCTGGGGCAGGACCTTGGTAAGGCCAAAATCCCCGATCTTCACCCTCATCTCGCTCTCCACCAGAATATTCCTGGTGGCCAGGTCTCTGTGTATGTAACGCTTACTGCCAAGGTAGTCCATGCCCTGGAAGAAGTTGATGTTGAGGTGATATACTCAGCACCAGGGTTCCATAGTATGCTTTACAGCGCGTCTGTAAACCTATTGTTACCTTGCATATCTGTGATGCGTAGTGCAGCAGTTTCTTGGAATCAATGTGATCCTTGTGTTTCATGAGATAGTCTCTCAAGCTGCCAAAGGGGAGATACTCCATGATGAGACGGAGGTTTCTTCTGCCTACAGGAAGAGGAGGGTTAAATAATGATGGTGGAGGCATTGCCTGTTTAAGGGGCAAAATGTTTCTAAAACACAATGGCTTGAAAATAAAATGGCTACAGCAAAGAAACAGTAAAAGGAAAAGATTATAAATTTTGAAAGCGTTCTGAAGCCAGTAATCTGTTCATACCTGCGCTGTAGCACACTCCTTTATATTTAACGATGTTTTCATGGTGAAGCGATTTAAGAATTTCAATTTCCCGCTCAAAGTCCCGAAGATGCTCCGCTGTGCTGTGCTGCAGTTTCTTCACAGCCACCACATCCCCTGTGTTGTCCTGCAGGGGGTCATACCTGCACATCTCTACGCTGCCAAAGTTGCCCTGCAGAGTGCGGCCAGAGGGAGAGCAGATTCAAATACAGCCAAGTTAACGTGAAAGGCTTCTAAACAGTCTGGATTCTGACTAATTTCTCTAAAATGTTCTCCAAAGGAATTCAAATCTTTTGATTCACAGATCTGTTAGAGACAGAAAATAAAAACTAAACTATCTTTACAAAGAGTGTGGCTTACTTTTCCCAGCTGCTTGAGAAAGATCAAGTGTCTCTCCTCAAACTGGGCCGGCTCCTGGCTCACTGAGGCCCAAGGGAAGCCAAAGCCTCGGGTCCTGTTGGGTACCATGTCGCTCTCCACCAGCAGCTCATAATCTGCAAAACCATGTTACACAATTAAAATATGCATCTTTAATCTACAGATAAACATGTTGGATAAATGAGTTCGCTTTGCTGTAGTTTAACACATACTGCTTTAATCTGATTTTGTTTCCTTATAGATTAATTTGTCTGCTGCTTGTTTTCCTACCTGGAGTGAAAAGACTGTTGAGGTCTCTGATGATCGCTCTGAAGGAGGGTCTGTGTAAAGGCTCGTAGTCCATGCAGCTGTTTATCAGGTTGGCCAATTCCGTCCACTTTGGAGCCGGCAGCTGGTGTCTGTCCTCATAGAACAGGTTCTTCTGCAGAAGCAGATCGCAAAGGTGCACATAGAAAATAATGAGGAAAAATAATTTCTAACACTTAATGTAACATTTACAGAGTTAATAGACATATGATATATATATATATATATATATATATATATATATATATATATATATATATATATATATATATATCTTTGCAGTTTTCAGACCTTTGAGGAGTCCAGCGTGCAGAGGGGTTTTTCTCCCCCGCTGCAAATCTCCCAAATTGTGGTCCCGAAGCCCCACTTGTCTGCTGCTAAACTCAGATTCTGTGGGCTTTCAATGCACTCAGGGGGCACCCATGGGATACGCTCCACCAAAACTAAAAAGCAGATGTGACCAAAAAAAAACACAGTAGTTAGCTGCTCAGCATCTGCACAGGTAACAGGCAATCACACCAACAATGAGAAGGCTTGGTGTTTGTCATTCTCACATGTCCCCACACAGCATCTCTAAGGACGCTGGCTGAGTCTCTCACCTTCTTTGGGCAGCACAGTGATGCTGATACCGGGGTCACTGAGCTTGATGAAAGGCAGGCTGCCTGTCTTCCGGTCCTCCTCTCTGATCAAGAGAATATTTTTGGCACAAACATTCCCGTGCACAACGTTTTTATCCTCCTGTAAGAAAATGTAAAAAAGATACTAGTAATATCTGAATATGTCAAAAATTTAATCTGCAGAAACCAGTACCAAACAAAAAAATAAAAAATAAAAAATCAAGTGGATTTTCTGCAAAGTCTTACCAGATAGTGCATGGCCCAGGCTAACTGTTTAGCCACTTCTAGCTTCCAGGTGATGTTAACACAGTTCTTCTTCTTTTTCAGATAAGTATCCAGGGAGCCAAATTTCCCATATTCCTGCACCATCATGTCTAAAATAACAAAGAGTGAGATAATATATTCATCTTCTTACTGTAATGGAAACTAGATCTTCTTAATAACAATAAATACATGAGTTTAAACATATCGGGTTAGCTGTCACTCAGAGGGACTCATCTCTGCAAAAATACATCCATATTTCTTAATTTTATGATCAATAATTCCACAAACATTCAATAGATAATAACATCTTTTCTAAGTGGACCAGATGGTGTGTTTCAACTACAGAGAAATCACAATCTTGAGCCTCAATGGTAACGTCTATTCCGGGGTTCTGGAAAGGAGAGTCCATCGGATAGTCGAATCTCGGATTCAGGAGGAACAGTGTGGTTTTCGCCCTGGCCATGGAACACTGGATCAGCTTTACACCCTCAGCAGGATCCTGGAGGGTGCATGGGAGTTCGCCCAACCAGTCTACATGTGTTTTGTGGATCTGGAGAAGGCGTTCAACCGTGTCACTCTGGGGGTCCTGTGGGGGGTACTCCGGGAGTATGGAGTACCGGGCTCTTTAATGAGGGCTGTTAGGTCTCTGTATGACCGGTGTCAGAGCCTTGGCCGGCAGTAATTTCTCATATTCAAGTCGGACTCGTTTCTGGTGAGGGTTGGACTCCGTAAGGTTGCCCTTTGTCACCGATTCTGTTCATAACTTTTATGGACAGAATTTCTAGGCGCAGCCAAGGAGGAGATCTGTTTTGGTGGTCTTAGGATTGCATCTGTTATTCGCAGATGATGTGGTTCTATTGGCTTCATCAGGGCGTGATCTACAGCTCTCACTGAAGCAGTCCGCAGCAGAGTGTGAAGCGGCCTGGATGAGGATCAGTGCCTCCAAATCCAAGACCATCGTCTTGAGCCGGAAAAGGGTTGAGTACCTTCTCCGGGTTTGGGAGGATGTACTGCCCCTAGAGGAGGAGTTTAAGTTTCACAAATGAGGGGAAGATGGAGTGGGAGACCGATAGGCGGATTGGTGCGGCATCTGCTGTGAAGCGTGCGCTGTACCGGTCTGTTGTGATAAAGAGAGCTGAGCCAAAAGGCAAAGCTCTCGATTTACCGATCGATCTATGTTCCTACCCTCATCCATGGTCATGAGCTTTGGGTCATGATCAAAAGGACGAGAAACCGGATACAAGCGGCTGAAATGAGTTTTCTCCGTAGTGTGTCTGCGCTCTCCCTTAGAGATGGGGTGAGGAGCTCCACCATCTGGGGAGGACTCAGAGTAGAACCGCTGCTCCTCCACATCGAGAGGAGCCAGTTGAGGTGGCTCAGGCATCTGGTTAGGATTCCTCCTGGACGTCTCTCTGGTGGGATATTCCAGGCACGACCCACCGGGAGGAAGTCCAGGGGGAGACCTGGGACATGCTGGAGGGACTAGGTTTCTCGGCTGGCCTGGGAGCGCCTTGGGAACCGGAGGAGCTGGCTCAAGTGGCTAGGGAGAGGGACGTCTGGGCCTCCCAACAGAAGCTGCTACCCCCGCGACTCGACCCCGGATAAGCGGAAGAAGATGGATGGATCTTTTCTAAGCACGTTGAGTCTAGAGAACAGAGAGGCTGCGGTTGGGCCTTAAAAATTCAGCGTATAAAACATTAATAATTCAAAAGTCGTCTACAATTAAGTTTTTAAAAAAATGACCACAGTCACAGAACAGAAATCAGACTCACTCATTGAGATTATTAAAGCAACAGATTTCTGCTAAACTGCTTTTCAATCTGGCATCATTACATTAAAGTTTTCTTTTTATTTAACTTTTTTTGCTTCCCACTGCAGTTTTTATGTAGTTTACTTACTTTCATCACCACAAACACACACACCACAAATGAGGAGTAAGTGTTTGTGGGAGAGCTGGCTCATCATGCTGGCTGCCTCAAAGAACGACTGAGAAAGAACAGAAGAACATTTTCATTTGAATCTATAAATCTTTGAAACCCCAATTATCCAGGCAGACATTTAATATGACCAACCTCTGAAAAAATGCGATGGCCTTTGTCAAGAACCTTGACTGCAACCTCCATCTGGTGAACCTCCCCGTAGTTCCCCACCTCCTTTCTCACTCCGCGGAACAGCTTTGTGAACGTTCCTTGGCCCAGGCTTTCATTCTGAAATGGTTATATTCCAAATAACATAAATAAAGCTGGAGGAATGGATTCTTAATGTTAGATACAATATTGGTTCAGACAGTTTTTGTATTTTATTTCCAAATCTTATTAGTAAATAGAAACTTTGTGGATTTTGGAGGTTTTAGTTAATAAAATTTCATTAAGCTTAATCCACAAAATCCACTGAAAACAAGCTCCAAACTAGTATTTAGCACAGGCCGAAAATTACCAAAGTCTACTAAATTATGAGATTATATTTTACCTGTTTAAAAATTCACCTACATTAGTAAAATATCCACGTTACAGTATATCCTGCAGGACAGATCTTTTTTTTTTTTTACTTTTCGATTAAAGTAAGAGCACTTTCATAGCAGAGAGCTCAAAATGTAAACATTGTTTTAAAAGCTCTGCAGTCTTTCCATTATTCCTCATGTCTCTTTGTTCAGGTTTACACTGCTGAGAAATCATAGATGAACATCCAAATAACAAATAGACACCCTAAGAAAAAAAAGGTAAACCAAGAATGTAGAGCGCCTTTTCTAATGAGTTACTCTCCTGCTTTTGTGAGCCAATGATCTTTCTCCTTACTGCTGTCCTTAGAGTTTGCTATCCTGATCATTGTGTTTGGGGACTAGACAAACTTTTATTTTTTTTTTTCCAGCTTTTTAATTAATGGATACTCTATCTGTACATGTAGGAAGCTATGGGAGAATAAACATTGTCTGTTGGTTTTAAGAGAAATGTCTCATTTTTCCAGGGAAATTTAACAGAACATATACACAGTGGGGGTTTATTATCCTTTTCTCTTTTTTTTATAACAGTGCTGGAGTTACTCAGGGATATTTCTCTACTTTATAACCTAAAACATCTGGACTGCACATATATCCAGATCCTTTGAATCCCAGTTTCTGACCAGTAGTGCGTTCATTTTACAGAAACTGAACCTGGATCAAGAAGCTTAGGTTTTAAACAAAGAAGTAAAATGACTTTGAGTTTCTGACTGATTAAAAAAAACTCTCATTTATTCAGAAAAGACAATTTTACCATAATAAGTTATATTATTGATCAACAAACACTTTTCATTTTTTTCTTCAGACCAAAAAAAGGCAGAAAATCCAATTCCAGACATTTGGAGCTCTAATCTAACTCATCTGAATCAACTTTCTACAAACAAGGAGTTCCACAACTCACAATGTGACCAACCATCCATTAAAAGCCTTTTAAGGATAAAATGAGGACATGGAGCAGCATGTGCAAGAATGACTGTTTAGGTTGTTTGTTTCTTCTTATTTCTGCCAAAGCTGCATTTATTTCCATTCAGCTAGCATTTTCACTTGTCTTTGTAATTTGAAACATAAGTTTAAAGAGATTGACCTCAGGAAATCCTGGATTTTTAATCAATCAATTCAGGCAGACAAGTTTGTGCAAATAATGTCTTTCTTTTCTAGGAACTGTTAAGGCTGTCAGGCACTTTGGCAGCAGGGATATTGCTAAAAACATTTACTTCTGAACATTGTGTTCAAATTTAAAGGTGTGGTTTTATAAAAGATTATGCTGCGTCTAATAAAATTTATCGAGGCCTTACGAGGGGCACTTATAAATAAAGAGACATCTAACAATGTTTTCCCATTAGAATAGGTTGAAGATATAACCGGATTATTAAACTTCTTACAAAAATAAGGTCCTCTTTGCGGATTTTGTGGAAAACCATCTGACTGATGTGTTTGTGGAGCGATGGTGACAGAGCGACTTCTGTGCCCTGGTTGTTTCTGCACACCAGCAGGTTGGATTTATCTGAGAAGATATAAAGATGGACATGTGACAGCAGTATGACTACAACCCCTAGAGGCAAATTATTTTACACAGAAACATGTTTTTTTACAAAAAAAGGTCTGACAGATGAAAATCATATGAAGAAATGATTGATCCAATATTAAAAAAAGGTGAAAAGATGTGCAATATTTTGCTGAACATCTAAAAGAAAAGATCTCACTGAAATAGGTGAACTTAAAACTATGGTTATGTAAAGGTGGGCTGCCAATCTGGTCCCAAATAGGAATACAAAAAGTATCATTGAAAATACTGTCAAATACCAAAGACGTTGAATTAACCTCCAACTTACGGTAACTTTGGCGGCTTACAAAAAAACCAGAATAGGAAATGTTAACTCTCGAAGAAATAACTAATTTCTTTAATAATAGCAATATCTATGTCTAATGTTTCCATATTAAGGACAATATAATAATAATGTTGAGAATAGAAGGCTGACCTCTCTGGCTGGGTGGACAGCACCTAATTAGCTGGAACGTGTACCCATCGGTGCGTAGCGCCTCCTTTTGGTAGCAATGCATGAGTTCTTTAAGGGAACCAAAGCTTTTTTTGGCACCGCTCAGGATAAACTCTCCTGACTCCGTCTTCACGATCTGACAGTGCTTATAGTCCACCATGGTTTCATACTGGAAATACAAAATACACATGTAATGAATACTTTGATTAAAATTGAAAATAATGTACAATTACTAAAAGTATTCTAAAGGGTAAAAGTCATGAAGCGTCAAAAATCTGGCCCTATTGCTCCCTCTAGTGGTTGATTATTTACAAAATCCTTCATTTTGCACAATCCATGAATAAAAACAGATCACTCCCTGATGCAATTTCACATTTATCGTTTAAAACAATCCAGTAATCAATTTTTTACTATTTACTTGGTTTAAATATACATTTAAAATCCCACATGAAAACCAGAAAATGAATGACGGAAAGGAAACAAAGAAAAAAACTAAACAATACGGTAAGGAAGAAAGAAGGAAACAAGGATGAAAGGATACCAAGAGAAAGAAGGAAGAACAAGCAATAGAAAAAAGGAAGGAAAGAAAGATAAGGAATAAAAGAAATAAGACAGAACGGCAGGAATCTAGGACTAAAGGAAGGTGGAAAGGAGGCACAATGCAGGACAGAAGAAAAAAAAAGAATATTTCTATAGCAGCTTTTTCAGACATTGGCATCACAAAATGCTTCACAGTAACAAAATCTATTTAAAACAGAAACAACAACACATGCTTAAACAAATGCCTTTCTAAATATAAATGTCCTTAGATGTTCAATAAAAGAAACTGTGGATTCTGTCCAGCATCACGTTAGAAAGGACTCTAGGGATGAACAAGGACATCTGACACAACAATAAAAGTGAGGGACACTTGGAATAAATGCATCAAGTGCAACTGTAAACGCATTCATCCCTCTTTGAACAAAACACTTAATAAGCAGACAGTGAGGAATTATATTCAGCGATAAAACCTGCATTTAATGCAAATTGATAAACATTAAGCTAACACTTACCCCAACAACAAAGGACATGAAGAACTTGTCATAGTCTCTGGGGCTGCAGCGAAGGATGTAGAGGCCTTGGTAGTTGCCTGAACGACGCAGCTTACTAATTGTAAACTCCATCCTGTGATCAAAGGGCAAAATGTGCCTTTGTGTAAAAATAGCATGTGGCTGTGAGTGCATTATGACACACGTGATGTGCTAGTTTAGTGAACAACAATGAAACTCACGATACAGGGCCGTGGCAGAAACTCTGAATGCACTCCAGAAGTCTTGGCGGAGCTACTTCTTTACACAGGTAATGATGCGCATCGGCAACCAGACGGTAATATCCATCCACCAACGACACGAAGGACAGGGCCTCAGAGAGGGAATGGAACTCCAGCTCCTTAATGATGCCGAACATATCAATGAATTATTTGTTTTGAAATACATGGACAAAATGTTTACACTTGATTTAAAAGCAGTGAAAAAAATCTATATTTCATTTATATTCCAGTGATGTAAATAAATACTAATAGGGCTGCTCAGTGTCGCAGTGGGTAGCACTGCTGCCTTGCAGTAAGAAGGTTCTGGGTTTGATTCTGTATGGAGTTTGCATGTTCTCCCTGTGCATGCGTGGGTTCTCTCTGGGTATTCTGACCTTCTCCCACAGTACAAAAACATGACTGTTAGGTTAATTGGCTTCTCCATACTGTCCTTAGGTGTGAGTCTGTGTGTGAATGGTTGTTTGTCTTGTTTGTCTCTGCATTTCCCTGCAATAGACTGGCGATCTGTCCAGGGTGCACCCCGCCTCTCTCCCATTGACAACCGGAGATAGGCACCAGCGACCCCAGCGGGGAAAAGCGCAGGTTTAAAAGGCTAACATGCTTTTAAACCTGTTTATTCGAATTGGACACATTAACTGTCATTATCAGGTAGTTAAGCATTTAACTTTTCAGGGCTTTTAAACAGCTTCTGCTTTGTAATTCAGCTTCTGGATCTTGTTAGTAGATTTCTCTCAAGGTTGGGTGGCTCAACAGCCCTATTTAGTTGCTAAATTAAGCTTTTTGCAAAATAAAACAAACAAAAAGTGGAGCTTTAATGTGGAGGAAGATGATATATGATTTTTTTTTTTTAGATAGAAACCTTAAGTTGGGGCATTATTCTTACCAGTTTTGACTGCATGTATAATTCCCCCACCCTGACATTGCACAGAAAAACAATCTTAAAATGAGTCAAAAAGTCTCAAATTAAGTGTATTTACCCTTAATTCAAGTAGGTAAATAAGATGATCTACTAATGGAATGAGTATGTTTAGGCTTAAAATGAGATAATCAGATAATATGCACTTAAAATAAGAGACTGCAGTTAATTTTTCTTATTTTAAATGTAATTTCTCTCGTTCCGTTGGCAAAGTGTTTAACTTACCTGCTTAATTCAAGGAAAATGTACTTATTTAGATTACATTTTTTTGCCGTTTGTTTCATGGTGGAGGTGGTGTGATTCGTAATGTTTTCTTTCTGTTTTCTTTTTTGTATTTAGAAGAACATTTTCTAATACTGGTCTCCAGCTTGTGCTAAACTGTGAGCCAAAGATCTTGTGGCTTTTTCCTGCTTCCATAAATGGTCAGATTTGTGGAGTACATGACTAAAAGTTGAAGGGACAGTGTTGACCGTCTCCTATCTGATCTGATAAAAGACGAACCTCTGCAGCTCCAGTTATTGGTAATAGTTGAATAGTGAAAATCACTATACCAGGATCTGATTGTCCTGTCTGGTGAGGGAAACAATGCGACTTTCTGCAGAGCCTTCCTTGTTGCCCTGTTTGATGCTGATGTCGATCATCTCTGGGAAATCACAGTATGTCTCCAGCTCCTAGTGACATAAAAGGCAAACAGAAATTTTTATTAAAGTTTTATTCATATTTTTTCCCTACTAACTCAATGAAATGTTTGTCGTTAACTCGCAGAAATTACCTCCTCTGCCCCCCCCTCACCACTTTCTTTAGACCAAAGTATGCCCTCGTTGCCCTTCACCACGATGGTAATCTCTCGTGAGGAGAGGTCGGTCACTCTGAAGCGCTCACAGTACAGAGAGGGCAGCAGCATCTCCAGGCTCATCAGATATTTGAGCTTCAGGTTGCAAACAGTGGCCTTGCACTCACTGAACTGCTGGATGAACCGTCGGAAGCGGTAACGGATTCTCTTCCGGGTCAGCAGGTTGTACTCTTGGATGCGGTTCCGCATGCATTTGGGCAGGAAGGACTTGTAGCTAAAAGCAGGGAGGAAGATTTGATGGAAAGGGAGAAAAAAAATGTAAGTTACTGAAATTAATTTTTAAAAATACATTTTTTAAAAACTCATTGTTGGTTACATGAATCAATTTTAATATTTAACATGAGAATAATTTTTTGTAATCTAAGGCTTTAACACAGCTCTAATTTCTGCTATGAAAATCAGCAGTGTATGATACCTGTTATCATGGTAGATGTCCACTGGTGACTGGCCGCTCTCTTTAGCGAGCCTCATCATGTCGAGGACGGCCAAACCCAGACACTCCTCCTGAGCTTCATGGTTGACTGGAATATGAACCCAGCCGTTTAAAAAGTCACTGCGCCACTGCAACAGGTGAAACATTTCAAAAATGAACATCGAGATAAGAGCAGGAAGAACATGTTTTAGTAGACAATGCAACCAACGAGGAGCATGCATGGCAAATAACAAAAAAAAAAAAAAAAAAGGGTCTCCTGTTCTAAAATCTGATGAAATCTTCCAAATCTATGCAGGGTAATATAAGGAAACATCAGACGGTTCTCAAACTCTTAGCCTAATGGACGTGAAAACTTTGTGGTTCAATATTCACACATGGTGTCAAAGTGCGCAGAGATAAAACAAAGTCTGATGTTGATGTGCATGGGTGTGAGGTTTGCACAAATGTGGGGACAAAAAAAAAGAAAAAAAATTAAAACTCCAGCATACCCCCACCCCCCGACAGGCATTTCTGCAGAGGCCCATGAAAACAAAACAAGTCTTGTTCCTCTTTTGCGCTTCTTCAAAACTCTTACTACTCCACTTCCTGTTTTCTCAGCTCAACAAAACAAAGAGCTGACAAAGACCCCACACAGGCTGGCAGTCCATCACAGACAAGGAAAGGGAGACATTATCTCCACCCAGCAGCTCTTCTTATCATTTTTTAAATGTAAATGGGGACAATGAGAGAACTGTTGGTTACATTCTTAACCCCGCTTCTCTGAGCAGCATGAGGGCCCGATGAGAGCGTTCCTAACGCTGGACTATAGAACTGCTGGTGTTTTTAGAGAAACTGTTAGCATCCAAAGTGAAGTTTCTTTAGTTGTAATGATGTATAAGAACTGAGACTAACCTGAGCAAACAGGTAGGTCATGACACAATCATCCATTACTGGGCTTTCCATATCTTTGGACAAACCGTAACGATGGGCGTAGAATGAGCTGCCGCTGTTATACCAGCCTGGGAAATAGTATCTGGACAAAAAAACATAAAAAAAAGAACATCAGAAACAATAAAATAAATATTTAACAATTAAATGAACATGTTTCTACCTGATTCTGAAGTGCAGGCGTTCAGTGGCCGAGTTATGTAGCTTAAAGATGTGATTAGGAGGAAAACAGATTCGGTCACTTTCCCTCATCAGGCAAAACAAGCTGCAGTAAACTGGACTGATCCCTAAAAAACAAAGAATCACAGCAAATTTATTTAGATCATGTAAATCTTTTAATTATAACAACCTATTATAGTTTTATAGAAAGTCTTAAAAATGTTGAGTTAGTAAACATAAATCCACCTTTTTGAAACTTTGATGGCAGACATTACTACAAATTAACCAAAATATGAGAAAATATAGCACCATTCTGCAGCTCTCAATTCACCCCAAAGATTTGAAAATCCTCATAAATGTAAAATTCAAATACAATAATTTTGTTGCTGAACTAAGGAAAAATTGTCAACAATCTTCAATTTTTTTTTTTTTACGTATCACGTTTTTGGTTTGCTGCAATCAGACCTTTTTATCTTTGATCTACAGAAAAACCTGTGAAATCTGTAACATCCCCAAGGAAGCACCCAACCCCTTGCAGCTGTAACCTCAGCATCCCTTCCCCTTAAAAATAGAATAAACTAACGCGCAGGAAGAGTTTCAATTTGCACCCAAAGATTTTCTGTGTGTATAGATTAGGGCTGCAACTACCGATTATGTTGCAAATCGATTAACCCATCGATTATTTTTTCAAAAAATCGGATAGACAAAGGTTCCCTAAAGAAGATATTTTACTAAATTAAACAGGTGAAACTCAAACTTTTCCGCTTGAGGAGTTTTAGATAGAGCATATTGACAGAAATTTCTTTTTATCTTAACTGCAAAATGTTTACATATTTTTTACAATCTTGATATAATTACTGCTCTAACTGGGCTTCTCTGTTAGTTAAAGGCATGTTTTACAGTCTCTATGCTCCATTTAACGATTAATCATAGGCGTAACTTCCTTAAGGACTGGTGTGGACATGTCCCCACCAATCTTGACCGGTAGGGGGACAGTCCCCACCAATATTTTGTACACATAGTTTGCTTTCGGTGCTGTGTATATCTGATTAAAACCCCATTCATGCCGCTCCTCAGAAAGAAAATAAAAAAAGTTCTCCCCGCTGCTCACCGTCCACAAACCCCAACAAAAAAACTCAGAAAAAATAATCTGTTGCCTCTCGCTTTCTCCCCACCACCGCCCTCTCCCCATAACACCTGTCGCTTCCCTCCAAAAATGCTAACCCATTAAGGGACAGCAGTGGACTCAGACTTGCAGGTGAGAGGGACTTGTGGAAATATTAAGACCTAATTTTAGTCAGGAGAGACTTAAATTAGTAAAAGAATAAAGAATAGTGTAAAAATAAGTTAATACCGTATTTAAAATATAACTGAACCGTTGGAAAAAAAACTCAAACCACTTTTTTCCGGCCCTGTTATGTCAGCTACACTAGAATCCTGCAACGGGTCGGGTACCCGTGAAAAATACATAAATAAAAATAAACGGGTCGGGCGGATATTTTTTTAGTGCGGGCGGGTAGTTGGTGATTTTTTTTTATGCGTGTGTGTTGTTATGGACATCAGAAATGTAATATTAATCAGGCACTGGGTGCAGCGCAGCGTACAATAGCGTATGATGTGTTAACGGGTCGGGTTGCGGGTTAAATATCAACGGGTCGGCTCGGGTTCGAATTTGAATTGAAGATATCCGCGGGTAACGGGTCGGGTTCGGTAGTCATCCTAACGGGTTCGGGCGGGTGCTGGTCTCTAAGCTACACTACATTCAGTATCGTTGCCATAGAAACAGACAACAGCGCCAATATATCAGAATTATACTAAAACACACACAAATAATTTCCCACATAAAAAACAGGACTTTCAGTTCATTACAGTTTTCCGTTTTTAGAGAGTTGTTTATTTTGCGTTTATTAAGTGATGGCTGTGGTATATTAGCTTTCACTGCTATAAGCTTTCGCAGCAGTGATTGATTAATTTAAACACCTGCTCTACTGATGGTCTATCGGAGTTGGTGTTTAGGTTGAACATAAAGAACACCTTTTATTTGAAGCTTCTTGTAGCTACTGTTTTAATCCCGGCTTCACTTAAAACTTTTTCCTGACCTTGTTATATAGTTCTCATAGTGTTGCCATTCAGTAGCAAGCACTGCGCCCCTTTTTCTTTTATATGTACACGTACATTTAAGATTTAGCGTGTTATGTTGACAACTCATAAGCAAGCTGCTTTTTGCAATCTAGCAGGAAGGTAAGGATAGGATCTTGCAGGTGTGACGTCACTCTGCAGGGGGTCCAAAGATAAAATATTTAAACAATTTTGGCATTGGAATTTCAGATTTAAGGGAGTTAGAAAGTTCACTTAGTAAAAGTGCAAATAATAAATCTGATTACCGATTACTTTTAAGCTGGTTGAACATACTGCGACAGACTGGTGACCTGTCCAGGGTGATCCCACCTCTCACCCAGAACGTGGCTAGAGATATGCACCAGCACCTCCTGATCCCACTGAGGGATAAGGTTAAAGAAAATGGATGGTTGAACATAGTCCGCTCTCCCAGATTCTATCAAATCAGTATTGATACCCTCAGGGGCGGATTTAGGAAATTTGGGGCCCTAGGCAAAGACAGGCAGGGGGCCCCCTGAGAAGCAAACCCATAAAACAGACCCATTCTACAGATAGAGAAATGTTAATAGAATAGACATCCATTATTTGTTCTAGGTTTTGTCCCTCTCTTCTTGTCCCTTTTTCCTCTCTATTTATCAGCGTTCTGATGGCATTTTAGCCAAAGGATTTTTATCAAAAACATAATTAATGTGCACAAATAAGGATTAGTTGTATTAACTATACATGTAAACAGAGTTTTATGGGGCCCCCAGAACTTGGGGCCCTGGGCAACTGCCTAGTATTGCCTAATGGTAAATCCCCCCCTGGATACCCTGCTGGTGGATGTTCTTGACAGAAAGACGGAATTGCTTAATCATATTCTGCTTAAGGCCCCATAAGATCTTGTCCGAGTCCTGTTTTAAAAGTAAATTCAATTTAAAAAGTGACCTAAAATTGACCGTCAATAAATGTTCTACAAAATTGATATATTTATTTGATTTCTTTGATTTGTACTGCCTGTTTAGATTTATGTGATATTTTTTGCACAAAATATATAAGTGAATATTGTAACAGTTATGTTTTCAACTGTAAGCATTAAATTGATAAATGTTATTCACATTTTTTTGGCTTTATCCTTTCCAACAAAAAAAAAAGGCGTCGCGCAGGTAGCTCCCTTTCCTTATGAGCCGTCCCCACCAACTTTCAACACAAAGTTACACCCTTGCGATTAATCAATTACCAAATTAGTTAATAATCAATTAATCATGATTAATCTGATTAATCGTTTCAGCCTTAGTATAGATTATTATAATAATAAGCTTTGGTTGATGAGTTTTCCATTTAAAAAGAAAATCCTCAGTGTTCCGTCAGTTGCAAATATTATGTTTGGCATAAAAGATGGCAGCTACAATAATTTGTCTCACAATGAGCCCCTATGTCTTTGCATTATTGCTTTTTACGCTTTCGTTGTTTTTCAATGTGAACCCAGACTAAGAAAGCGTGTTTACCAATCATACCAACTAGAACTTGCACACAGAAAACGTCATGGTACAACAGGAAGCTCTCATGTATGAGGCAAGTGCAAGAGAAGATGAGTCCTGTGGAAGAGGAAGCCTGCCTAACCGCAACAGAGGAAGTAAAGTCAAAGTTTGAACAAGCCAAGTTTTTATAGACTTTTGATATCAAAATATCAAATGTCTATAAAAACTGTTTGTTTACCATAAAGGAAGGAAATAAACATTCTAAAGAATCAGTTTATAGTTACTTTAAAGATCTGATGTAAATTTCACATTTATCTCCCTTCACTTTTACACCCCTAAACTAAAACCAGAGCTATCACTTTGCTTCAGATGTTCCAGAAACACACGTAGAGGTTTATAACATTAAAAATTCAAAGAACACTGTCAATATGTCGTTAAAGTGTAGCAAAACTGCAGAATGACAAGAGCAAGGAGAGATTAGTCAGCAGCCAAGCAGCTCCTGTTAACTTTGGATGAAGTGCAGGGGTCCACAGCTCAGGTGGAGGTACTGGTCACACACTCTGCTACTCTGGAACTTATGGAGACAAAAGCCTTCATTGACAGAATGTCAGAGGAAGTTTAGCTTGCAGTTTGCTAAAAGCAATGTGGGGGTCAAAGCAAATGTGAGAGAGAAGGTGCAGCATGGGAGATCTACACACTGTACCTCACCCTTAACACACGGCAGAGACGGTGTCATGCTGTGAAGGGGCTTTTTTCAGCAATAAAGAAAACCTTTATTAGGCTGCAACAAACTTAAACTGGGGAGGGGGCTTCCCTTCTTTCAAGACCATGACTGTAAAAATAAACCCAGAATGGTTTATTTCAGACACACCTGAAAGAATAAAATGACTAAATCGCCCCCTTATCATGTTCACCATACTAACTTTATTCAATAGCATTTTGAACAGGGCCACAGAATGTCTTGAGAGGAGGTTTTTAATATAACATCCAGCTGAAAGTGCAGTTTTGCAAAGCAACTTTAAACAATACCACACATGACACATGGTTCGATCATGAAAGAGCTCAAAAGAAGTGAGATAGAAGAAAAAGGACAGATGAAGAGATAAAAAACAGATGGACCAACGGAAAAGCAAATTTCACCAAAGGATAATCAGGATGAAGAGCACGAGAAATTATTTATGTTAATCACTTCAAAGGAAATGGCACAACAGACTGTGGCAGAGAGCACTAAGGACAAGGAGGAGTCAGGAAAAACAAACAAAAAAACTTCCCTATGTTAGTACCTTGCAAAAAACAAAACAAGGTCATAAAGCAAAAACTATTTCATTTAGTTTAATTCATATTTCACTTTGGTCCTGTAGCTTTTGAAATTGCTTTATAATAATCTTATTATGATATGGTATGGTATGGTATGGTATGGTATGGTATGGTATGGTATGGTATGGTATGGTATGGTATGGTATGGTATGGTATGGTATGGTATGGTATGGTATGGTATGGTATGGTATGGTATGGTATATTTCTGGGGGGAAAAATCTAAGTGCGTTTTT